TTCTATGGATACAGATATAATAGGATATCCTGCGCCAATTCTTCCTTTCTTTCTAGAAAATCAAAAGAAAGACTACATCAGTGAAACAGGGAACCTCTAAACAGATGGCCTGAGTTTCATCTATTGGTCTCTGATGTCTTCCTCCTTCTCTCTGTTTTTTCCATGATAACTGAATCCAACCGTTACTGAGAACTCAGCATGATCTTGAGTCCTAAAATTCCACAGCTCTTGATTTGGAACGTTCTGCTAACTGTCCCCAACCACCCTCCTTCACATGGACCCTATTATACTATCTTGGAGGAACAAGTTTCACCGGGTCCTGTAGCATGGGTTGTTCCCCTAACCAAATAAGTTTACCAGATATAATATGCAGACAAACATGTATGTTAAAATAGTAACAGACTTTCTTGAATTTTAAAATTTTTAAAGGATAAAATTCACTTTAAAATTTCGTTTATAACTTATTTGTACTGAATATACCTGCTTCAAAGAACAAGGAAAAGAAAGGGAGCTGGACAGAGAATTGGCCAAAACCCTTAACTAGAATGATAGGAACACAGATATTACCATACTCGATCGGAGCAGGGGTCCATCAGTATCCAGGCCTCCACCCCACCCCATCCTGTGGCCAAAGCCAGTACTTCACGCTTCAGAGAAAGGCGCAAGAAACCCCCAAAAGGGCAATTATTAAGGCCCTACGTGAATTGTGGGATGACGGTCAAAATACTGCAGCTGAGTAGTGGACAAGCCGTGCAAAATTAGAAAAAATAATAAATTATTTATTAAGTCCATTATTATTTTTTGGCAATTTTCCACTGTCAGCCGCCCAGGGCTGAAAGCGGGGACTCCCTCTGTCAGCCCCGCACACGGCAGAGCTCCTGCTGTCAAAATTGCAATGGAAGCCTAATATTGTGGAATCTGCATTTTCCACAATATCCCAAGTTAAGGGGGGGGGGGGGGTTAGCAATTATGGAATAAGCTGCCACCAGGGAACACCTCTACCTAACCCTAGACAGTTAAGCATGATGGTCTAGACTACTTACATTGACAACTTCCACAGTTACATTAGACAGATTTTAAAAAAGTGTATCTCATCCCCACCATGGAGATATCATTTCTAGGGATGAGAGTTCAGTACTCTGGCCTTTCCAGTTAGTCTGCCAAAACGGGGAATCAATAAATGCCAATCATGGAGTTGATTTTTGTGGTATGCACATGTGTCCCACTAGGAATTGAATTAAGCCAACCCTCTCATTTCAACAGGTCCATGGAAAGCTCTCAGACTGAAACCAATAAGTTTCCCAGGAAACTTCAGACACAAGTTTTATTTTTTTCTTAATGAAGAGTCAACAAAAATTGGTGGGTAATTAATTTTTCTATTTCTCCATCAAATTCAGGTGGTCTCACCATGTGTTACAATATGCTTTCAGTGGCTCTTAGCATACATATTTGCAAAGCCATTAACATGGAAGTTTGAGATTAACAAGATAAATAAAAGACTTGCTCAAGAGACCATTTTCAACCAACGCAGTCAAAGCGCCATCCTTACATTCCCTGTGTACAAAAAAAAAAAAAAAAAAACCCAACGAACACAACCTAGCAATAAGGCTGGTTTGCAGACAACAGCAATGTTTTGACATCAGACCACATTTAAGATTTTATCATTCTTATTAGAAAAAAATAAGTAGTAAAGGCACAAGTTAGCTTTCCAGTCAGGAAAGGTTTACTTATAAGGGTACGTCTACACTTACCGGAGGGTCCGGCGGCAGGCAATCGATGTTCTGGGATCGATTTATCACGTCTGGTTTAGACACGATAAATCGATCCCGGAAGTGCTCGCCGCCGACGCCGGTACTCCAGCTCGGCGAGAGGAGTACGCGGCATCGACGGGGGAGCCTCCCTGCCGCGTCTGGACCCGCGGTAAGTTCGGACTAAGGTACTTCGAATTCAGCTACGTTATTAACGTAGTTGAATTTGCGTACCTTAGTCCGAAGTGGGGGCTTAGGGGGGGACCAGGCCTAAGTGTATTTTCAAACTCCAATAAAAAAATATTACATCTTATCTGCTACTTCCTCATAGTCTACTAATGGCTACTGATATGCATGGAATTGCTCTTGATGAATCAGAGAGCAAGGGAAGTGGGGGAAATGCACAATGATGTTCTCCCCCTTGCATTTTGCAAAACTCCTTCCACCCTCATTCCCAAGGACATCTTTTTTAATCTGCTCCTGTATGTCAGTAACCATAGGACTTTGAAAGCTTCTCTTGGAAAGCCTATTCAAGTGTCTCAGTCCTTTTGAGCGCAAAGGCCTTTTCCCTACTAGTTAGTCTCATAGCCCCAGTTTTATTGTGTTAATCGTTTAACCATTAACAAGTTCACAACATAGGTGCAGGAACCAGGGACGAGGGGGGAGTGCTGCAGCACCCCTATGTTTTACCCGGGGTCCCGGTGGCTGGCCGTCGCGTAACACGTGTGGGAGCTGCAGCACCCCCCGCACTCCTAGTTCCCGTACCTATGACGTCAGTTCTATAGCAATGGTCCCAACTCCTAACAATGTAGAACCTAGTTCCACATACACTATGAAATGGTATTGCTGTGACTTTTTTTATGTGCACATTAGGCATTTAAACATTAACTGAATACGTGTAAGACTGATACTTATCAGTTAACCGTTAACATTTTACATCCCTAGTGCAAACATAGCACGCAACAGTGTAGTTCCTAAAATACATTAGGACTTTTTAAGCCATCCTACAAGCTACTCTATCCAGTAGAAATTGAAACAGATAGCAGCAGTACTCCAGAATTCATAACTGCTGATATACCCCTGAGGTATCCCAGGTGTGCCTGAAGCAAGAAATCCAGTTCAGAACCCAAACTTGCACAAGTTTGGGGTTTGGATCTAGGAGTGCTTGTTTCGATGCATCTTTGCCCATGAGAGTATATTGCAAAAGAACCTTAATCCAATACTGCCAAAAGGAACTGTACTCCAGAATGCTGATAAATTATCCCACAATTAGTGCGGGTATGGCTAAAATACCCCTAGAACACTGCTGACATACCTCCACACTGTATTGCTGATCTACCCAAAATGGATCCAATATAGTACTACTAAAGGAAACACAGAATACTGCAAAACAAAGTCTAGGAAGCTGATGACCAATATCAGTATCTGACCCCCCGACTGACCTGGATTTAATTCCACCTGCTCCTCATTTCTCTCTCCCGCTGCTACCACCACATTTAATATCCTCAAAAAGCTCTCCTGCCAGGCCAAGTGCCTGCACTTTTCTCAGTGCTGGCCCCCCTGCACTAGGATGCTAGGGAATCTCCATCCTTCACCTGGGACATTCAGAAGTCCTTAAGGAATTCATTGATAAACGACAGACTGTGTCCAAGTGTGTCAGTTCATGGTGAGTCAAGTGAAACAGAGGCACGCATCCTCAGAGGGGCACTTCTGATGCCCGCTGTGACGGACAGGCCGCTATCTTCCCGAAAGGAATGAGGGCAACAGAAGCTACTTATGAGAGGAAGCAGCAGTTCTCCCAACACCAGGATCTTTTCCTCCCACCGTGAAACCTCCTTTACACCCGTCTGTCTCCATGAGCAAACAGATGTTGAATATCAACTATAAACAGCAAGGTGTTGAGATATTATCTTTTATTGGACCAATGTCTGCTGGTGAAAGACACAAGCTTTCAAACCACACAGCGCTCTTCTTCAGGTCCAGGTAGCTCAAAAACTTGTCTCACTCACCAGAAGTTGGTTCAATAAAAAAAAATATTACCTCACCCACCTTGCCTCTGTAATACTCTGAGACCAACATGCTGCAACAATAGGGCAAATAATTGTGTCCCCCCCCCATCATCTCGGACACAGATCGAACCGCCCCCGTGGCCTTTACTCCAGTCCTGGCTGACAGCCTGAGGCGCCCCACGGAGCGCTGCGGGGGGAGGAGCCGGCCGCGGGAAGGGCACTGCACTTCCTACAGCTTTGCGGAGAGTTGGCCCCCGGGCCCGGCGCGCGCTGCGCAGCTCAGTGGCCGACGCGCCCTGTTTACACGGAGACTTTCTACGACGTTCTCGTGAGCGCCGCCGCCCCCGCTCCCGCCCCCGCCTGGGGAGCGCGGCCGCGCCGCAGCGAGGAAGGGGCCTGGCTGGCCGCGAGTCCCAGGGGCGGAGGGGACCAGTCAGCTCAGCGAACCTCGGTAGCCGGGGCGCAGGACGCGCGCTCCCGCACCGGACACAACAGCAGCCGCGGGGGCCACATGCGGGATCCCCGGCCCGCTCCACGTGCGCAGGGCGGCCCGGCCCAGCTCCCAGCCGCGGGTCTCGCCCCGGATCGCCCGGCCGGGCAGGGACCCCCGCGCCCACCCCAGGGGAGCGCTCGGCCGAGGCGGGGCCGGGGCTCGCTCTGTGGCTGTCACCGGCCCCCGCCCGCCGCACGTGGGAGCTGCCCGGCCCCCCAGGTTCCCGTGCGCGCGCCCCCCAAGCGCGCCCCCCGGCGGGCCTCACCCAGAACTTTCTTCTCCGTGTCCGCGGCGGGGGCCGCGCTGCTGCTGTCACTGGCGGGGGCGGCGGGGGCCGCGTCTCCGCTGGCGCTGCCCGCCGGGGCGCTGGGGCTAGCGGGGCTCCTGGGCTTGGCGTCCTGGGCCGGGGAGGCCGGCGCGGCAGCGGGGGGGCCGGTGGGGGATGGGGGGGCCGCCGCCGTGGGGCTGGTCTGCGCCGCCTCGCTCATTGCGTCTCTCCGGGGCGGTCGGTGGTGGCCGCGTGCTGGCGCGCGGCGCGTCGGGTGGGTCGGTGTCTCGCGCTGGGTCGTTCGGGCTCCGCGCTGGGTCTTACTGCCCCCAAAATGGCCCCGCCGAAGTTTTTAATACAGTCAGCTAGGGCCAGCCCCGAGCCTGGGGCGGCCTCATTAGCATTTAAAGGGGCCGCGCCGCCAAAGCGACCGGGCCCCGCCTCCCGTGGGGCTGCTCCGCACGGGGCAGGGAAAGTTGCAGAGAGAGCGGGAGCGCGTGCGCGTCCCCATTTTATTATCAGGGTTTTGGGTGCTGAACTGACACAGCCCGAGGGCCCATGAGGACAAGACATATTGACATACCCAGGGCCCAGTTCTGCACTCGTATACCCCCCCCCTAACACACACACACACCCATGCAATCCGCTCGGGGTAAAGGGGCCCTGGGGTCCTGCCTTACTCACACCACATGGGCAACTTGGGCCTAGTTTTACACTAGTGTAAATCCACTGATTTCAGTGGATTCTCTCCTGATTTGCACCAGCGGGAGACCACATCCAAGCCCATTTATTTCTGCCAAAGGAATCCGATAAAACATAAAAACATCTGTGACTTAAATTAACTTTCACTATCTTAAAACAACAACGAGTTGAAATCTAATCAATGTTTAAAAAAAAGGGGGGGGGGAGGGGACTTTGATGTCCTACCTATGCCCCTGGGTCGTGCTGCCAAGTTTTGTGGTGTTTACAACTGCATTTTCCTATGTTTTTAAAACAAGTTTTTTCTTTCCTCTTGCTTCACAAACAGGGGAAAGTGACTGACTACACAGGGAAAAGAGTGAAACTGTGCCCAAAAGCCAAGCTTTTAAAATATCTGTTAGTCTTTAAGGTGCCACCAGACTCCTTATTGTTGTTTTTTAAATATAGGTGCATAAAGTTAGACTTCTGTGTTCATATTTATGCACATAACTATGTGGCCTGATTTTCAAAAATACTGTCAACCCAGCTGCTCCCTATGAAGACAATAGGAGCTGCATGAGCCACAGTTCTTCAGAAAATCAACTTCTAGTCTCTCCTTTAACCTTGTCTCACAGGCTCCTGATGGTATGGACTGAAATCACTAAATAAGAATAAATAATAATTTAGATTAAGTTATTCAGGGAAAGCACTGTGTGTTTGTATAGCACCTAGGGCAATGTTGATAGGAGGGTTTCTCCTCATGCTACTGTAATAATAATAATAAATATGTCTTTTTCTCCTCTGTGTTCTGCCTACTTTTCCTTCTCTCCTTCCCCTCCCCCTTACTGCTCCTGTGCCAGGTGTCTCTTTCCCACTCCCTGCCCTTATCTCTTTTTCTCTCTCTATTGCTTCCCCATATCACTGCTTCCCCTCTCATTGTCCCTCCTCACTGCCTGCCTTTCCTTCTCCTCTTCTTAACCCTTTGCTGCCCCATCTCATGTCTCAGCTTCCTACTGTCATTGTTTCTGTCTTTGGCTGTGAATACACTGCCACTTTCAGCGCTAAAACTTTAGTAGTTCTGGGGTGTGAAAAAACACACCCCTGAGCGACAAAAGTTTTAGTGCTGAAAAGCGCCAGTATAGACAGCGCTATATCGCTGGGAGCAGCTACCACCTCTCATTCGAGGTGGTTATTTTTATTGACGGGAGAGCTTTCCCCTGGCAATAAGGTGTGACTACACTGCCCACATCACAGTGCTGCCGCAGCCGCACTGTAACGTGGACAGTGTAGACATACACTTCATGTCTCTCCTTTCCTTCTTGCTGAGCCTTCCCGTCTGTCTCTCCTGCCCTCCCACCAAATCCTTATTGTGTTGTCCTTGTTGTCCCTGCATCAATGCTTCTACCTCCTAGTTTGCTGACCTCTTCCATCCTCATCCTTTACCCCTTCTTTGTGTCACTTCACTCCCCATCACTTCCTCCTTACTGCTCTACCACCAACAAGGCCATGTCTACACTACAGAGTTAAGTCAACTTAAGTATTGTTGACGATCATAAGTCGCTTTAATAACATCAGTGAAGCACGTCCACACAACACTCCTTGTGTTGGCTGACCATGTCCAAAGTCGTTGCTCAAATATCAAAATTCCTATGGCTGGTGCGAAGCTGCAACTGCACAGCCTCCTCTCCCCATATACTCAGCAGATCCAACAGCTTTGGTGTGCTCCGCTTAGGAGCGCATCTGCTGCAGAAAGCCACATGGTCAAGTAGGAAGATGCTTTGTGAACTGCTCAGGCCGATTAAACAGGAAGAGGAATTTCAAAAATTCCTGGACCTTTAAACGGTGGAGGGGCGCATACCTTTATAACTTCAGGGCAGCAGAGTTTAAACTGCTGACCAGAGCTATCATGATGAGCACTGTGGGATGCCTCCTGGAGGCCAATTAGAGCGACATAACCAAGTGAGGTATCTACACTGACGCTGATCACTCTTAACTATCTTGCAAAAAGCTCTATGCCGCTCGTCAAGGTGCTTTTATTATGTCGACTTAGCAGGAGAGTGAAATCGATGAGAGAAGTATGTACACTTCCACTGTTTTGTTGACAAAAGCTGACTTTTCTCGAGAAAACCATGAAGTGTAGACAAAGTCCTAGTGTCTCCCCTTCCCTTCATTACCCCCTTCTTATGTCTCTCTTTCCCCAGGAGGTAGAAGTGTGAACCTACATCTACTTTGACCCTGATGCCACCTGTCCCCTGATATCCAGCCGCTAACCTATCCCAGATGTGGGCTATTCAGGCCCTCCACTGCTTTCTGCACATCAAGGCTTGAACCACTTGGAATGTGGTTCTTGGCCTATACACCTGTTATTCCCATCTGATGTCCAGCTACACCTCATCTCACTGAGAACTCTGCCAAACAGACAGTTAATTTATTTCCCTGCTGAGGAGTACCAAGGTACTGATAACATGCCTCTGTTCTAAGATGAGGCATTCTCTGCCAGTGAGCACTTTGGTACTGGTTTGAACTATGCAAAATCGTGCATTATTGAAACTTTTTGTGAACCTTGAAGAAGCCTCTGGACTTGACAGGTGTCAGAGCAGGGGGAAAAAAATGTAACAGTGCCCTTTCCTCAATCACAAACCAAATCCACAATACCAAAGTAGCAGTTGTTTTTACTAAAATGATCAGTAGTGAAATAGTGAACTATTTTGATATGCAAATAATCTCAGGCTTCAGAGTTAATGTATCATTAAATATTAGTTATTGCTGACCACTCCAGACATCAATGTTACAACTCACATCTGGAGTCTATCTACAAAGTTCATTAACATATTGTTTTTGCCCTTTTCTAAATCATGAAGATAGTGATTATTACAGTAGTCTCCATTGTGCTAGGCTTTGGACACACCAATAACAAAAAGATGATCTCTGCTCCAAAGAGCTTACAACTCCCCTCAACTCAATACGGTATTTGGCAGGTTATATTATTTTATAATTATGTTATAGCCCTTTGCAATTTTCAATCCATATGAGTATTCACATTCAAGCCAGTTTGTATTAATTTTGAGTGTAAGATTTTGTGACACACTGAATAAAATGCTGTATTAAAATCCAAACCTGTTGCTATTGGTTTCCTTCCTTCCATTAATTGTGCAGTTTTGTCTAAAAAACAATTTACTCAGCTCTGTCCAGGAAAATCTACAGTTATAAGCCCTGCTGCTCATGGCTTTTACATTCTTCTCTAGTTTTTTTTCCTCTTAATATTTGTCAAATTATTTTAATAGGGAAATAAGAGTATCAGGGAAGTGATTGCCAGCATCATTCTTCTTCCCTTTCTTGAAGATTGGTACATTTCCTTTTCACCAGTCTTCCATGACTTGTCAAAAACAATTACTTGCGCTACAGAAAATTCATTTCCTAACTCCCTTAATAAGTTATGATACATATTTGTGGGGGCTGATGTCTGTATCTTTATATTTCCAAGCAGTCTTCTTCCTAGTTTTTAATGAATAACTGTTTTAATGAGGTTTTCCTCATAGTCAATTTTGTAATTTTTTCTTTATTCTTCTTGTTGAAGATGAATTTTTAAAAATAAGTTTGTCATCTTAGGTATATCCCAGTCATTAATTTCATGCCTCTCTATATTCATTAGTAGACCTAAATTGCCAATAGTACATCAGTTACTTTCCTCTGATATTATAGGTGATGCAGTTAAGGTTGCCAGATATTTCCCATTATAAAACCCTGTATTCAGTTGCTTATAACTTTGCCAGACTTTAACAATTTGGGCTGAAATTTTACATGCTGGGTGTCTGAATTTGGCTGAATATTTCCCGAAAGTTTCAGCAACAAAGTCATCCTAGAGTCAAGCGGGTTGGGGATGCGGGAAGTTGGCTAAGTTATGAGCCATATCAGTTTGTATGTGCTCAGTAGAGACTTGTTAGAGTTTGGCTGTTAAATTCTCTTACGATTCGGTCTGTATTAAGCATGCTTCAGTCCCTCTCAGTTCCTACCAGCTGACTAGACTGTATAGGTGCCATCCCTACAGAGCAGCCTCCAGTTCAGGGTTCTAAGCAGGACTTCCCTTGCATTTGGCTGCTCTGTGCCACTGTAGCACCAGCCATCAAAATTTAGGGCAGGCCAAAAAATCTCTCCTATGCTCTCAAGGTTCCCCCTGCTGGTGCTGAGGCAGTGAGAAGGAGGAAGCAGCCTGATTTAGAATGAAGTGGGGCAAGAAGGAATATGGGGAGAGAGGGTTGCAGGAGCTGAAGGGTGGAGAAAAGCAGAGGGGATGGGGGATTCAGGGGGATCATTAGCCACAAGGGGGATGGGGAGAAACAGTGAGAAACAGAAGGCAGTAGAGTGAGAAAGGTACAGGAATAGGCAAGAGTTGGATAGAAGGCAGAGAGAGGGGAAGGGTTTGGAAGGTATATAGGGAGGCACAAATAAGGGAAGGGGGCAGGAGCTAGAGGGAGGATAGGAGGAGAAAGGAACAGAGACAGTTTTGGAAGGGGGTGGAGGTCAGGGGTGGAGACAGAAGAGTAAATATTAAGTCCTTGGGAGGCATGGACCATCTTCTTTTTCTGCATTTGTACATTGACTAGCACAAACAGGGTCCTGGCCTATGACTGGGGCTCCTAGATGCTACAGAAATACAAATTATTAATAATATATTACCATCACAGCATGCTCCCCTCCAGAACCTGGAATTGAACCCAAGGAGTGCTGAGCATCTACCTTCCTCTGCTGTCAGTAAATAGCTGTGAAACCCACTAGCAAAATGTATTGATCCATATACACAGCCTACTACTGCTACCAGTTACCTCAAGTAGCAGAGCTCTGTGTTGTGGCTAAACATACAAACACTGCCGATGACCCAATTTGGGAGCTAATATCATTCCTGGTGATGAATTTCTGTTTCCCAGCTTGGTGTTCTGTGATTTGGTTTGTTTGTTTCATTAAATTACATAAAAACCCCTATTTTAAAAAGAACGTGAAGGTTGCAAAGTCAAGCACTGGAAAGTTAGTACATGCTGGACTTAAGGTTGTCCATGGATCTTAATTCTTCCCCCTTGTACATATGTATTGTGATACAGTCAGTTACATGATCCCATACTTCTTTTCTACAGGACTCTTCCCTCATTCAGTGCAAAGGATGGACAGTAATCTGGGATTTAATCAGGGTTGTATAATGAATGAAACTGTTGTGTGTACTCATTTCTTGAGTTGGAAGGTGGATAGTGGATGAGGCAGGGATTTGGAGGAAGAGAAAGGATGGTCTCATGGTTAAAGCAATTGAATGCCATCTTGGGTTCTGCCTCTGCCACAGAGTTCCTGTGTGATGCTGGACAAGTCACTCAGTACTGCCAACTCTCACAGGGTTGTTTTTTTGTTTGTGTTTTTGTGTGTGTGTGTGTGGGGGGGAGTAATGGGTTTTCAGACAGGGCTGTGGCTTGTCTCATGATGATGTGAGGAGCTCCAGCCCCCTCATGAAGTTCAGCCCTGCTAGAAGCCAGCAAAGTCTCTTCCCTCCACTTCCCATTCTCATGGGATGGGAGGGGAGGGGAGAATGAGGCGTCAGCAAAAAGCCCAGCAGCCTGGGAAGGGGGAGAGGGGACCCAACTGCTGGCCCACCAGTCTGGGAGGGCATTGAAGAACCTTAAGAGGAGCAGAGGTGAGGCTGAGTAGGGGGCTGAAACTGGGGGGAGGGCTGAAATGATGGGAGCTGGGGAGGCTGGACTGAGGGGAGGACTGGGTGGGGACAGAACTGGTAGGTGGAACTGGGGGACAGAATTAATTGCTAGGCAGGGGATGGCTGAATGAGCGGTTTTTCAGCAGTGGCCAAAATCATCTTACCCTATACATTTGGGAAAGTGGGCAATGCTAATTGTCACGCACACTAGGAATGGACATGTGGAGTTCAAAAATTAAAAGACAGATTAAAAAAAAACAAAATAAATTAAAATCTGATGATTTTTGGACCAATCTCATGGAGTTCTGACTCATTATTTTTGATTGCTTTGAGGTTGGCAATAATGGTTGCTTAAACCAAAATGTTCACAGTTGGTCACTAATTGTGTATTTGTCATTTTCTCAGTGCCCAACATGAGACACTTGAAGCGAAATTTGCAAAGTGCTGAGTGCTCACAACTGGAGAGATTGAGAGAATTCACCCCAGAATAGCCAGTAACTCGTTCACTCACCTGGGATGTAGGAGACCTGAGTTCAAGTCCCTCCTCAAATCAGGCAAAGCAGGAATTAAAATCTAGGTCTCCCACATCTCAAGTGAGTATCCTAACTACTGTGCAATTGGCTATAATGGGGTAGGGGGTCTCTCTGTTTATTCATGAGAAGGGATTGACCTAGCTTAAGCACCTATCTCCAGGAGCGGGGTCCCAGCTGAGAATCCCAAGCAGAGATAGTAATCTGCCTGACGCCTGTCAGTCAGGTGTCTAATTAGGCACCTGTTGGAGATGTTCCACTTTGAATAAATAATTAAATATTAGTTGGAGCAGGGACTTGAACCTGACTCTCCCACATTACAGTGAGGGCCATAACAACTGGGCTATAAAGTCAATCTCTTCCTTTTTCTCTCTTTGTACTGAAGAGGCAGTTAGATGCCAAAGTACCTTTGTGAATCAAGGCCTCTGTGCTGCGTTTACTATCAGTAAAATGGGGATAATAATACCAGCTATTCTCACAGGAGCGTTGTGAAGATAAATTGATGAATGTTTGTGAAGCACTCAGACACTATGGTGAGAACACAATAGCAACATCCAGGAGGAAATCAATAATTTTGCATTGTGGAAAGTTTGAATATTATGTGGTAAATAAGTCCTTAGGCCACACACATTGACTATGGATAAAAAAAAAAAACAACGAACCCCCCTTTCAATGAATAAAGTAGGAGTCCCATGGAGAAAATAATATGTGAGCATTTAACTAAAGACTGTATCATAATCATACAAATAAGGGGGGGTGGGGATTAAGGTTTAGGGCAGGGGCAACCTTATGTCTGGTATTTCCCAACTTTTCAGTGCTTGATTTTGTAACCACAATGTTCTTTTTCTAAAGGTTTTTTGTTTGTTTAATGTCATTATAACTCTTCTGCCAGCTGTTGTCAACAGCAAAAAGGACTGGGTTCAATTATCTAGTAGTTCTGTCTGAAAACTTAATAAACAATACTGGCTTTAGCCCTCACCTCCAGACCTGGGAAAATGAAATACCCTCTCCTCTCTGCCCATACTCCCCTCCCCAAGCACCCTTGATAGACAATATTTCCCCTGCACAAGCACTGAGTATGTTGTACAAAGAAGCTTTCATTGGGGGAAAATGGGCATAGAATAAACTTGGGAAAGCTGATAATAATTAATCAACAATATCTGTATGTATCTATTCAGATTGTAAGCATTCAACAAGGTAAAACATTCCTGCAAGAGCCACTTCCCTCCCCTCACTCACTGTTTGTTGTCCAAGGTTTGTGGAGTCCAGAATTTGGGTAGGTCTGTCTCCAGCCCCTAAGGTAAGTGCTAGCTAGTTTGCTTCTGGTCTACCACCTAATCCAATAGTAATAATCACAGCTGTTATTGATTGATGTATAAAGGGGCTCTCAGTGGAGTCCTTCAGTTATACTACTGGATTATATCATAGCTTTAGCAAAGAACCATCTCTACATTCCTCCTTTACAAACTCTTTAGAGAAGAATCAACAGATCCAGGACCCAAACAGAATCCTTGCCATCTAAAATACACTATTATAACAAAATAACTAATTTCTTTTTTTTTCCCTCTTGATTTATTTATAGCTTTGTCCAGGCTCTTCTACCCAATCATGTCTTTGTGGCTTTGGTCAGGGTGACCACTGCACCCCAGGTACAGTTGGTGTGGTTGTTTTGTCTTTCGTTATCTGACAGGGATAATAATGTTTTATTATCCTCAAACCCAAAACGTAACTGAATTTTGACCAAACTGCCACATAACAGAAATGCAAATAAGGCCTGGCCCATTCAATCATTTCCCCTTGCCTGCCAATAGATGGCAGCAGAGAGCTCTCTCCTCTGCTTGGTCTACCTGGAGTTCTCAAGCAGCTCTAGGCCACTTTTCACCCTGTTAAACAA